GTAAAGTTGTGTTCATTTGTTTATGCTGCATTTGTTTAATTATGTAAAGATGTGTTGCTGTTTTACCTTGCCTGCCTAAGCTACCTGAATGGTCGAATAAAAAGTTAAATGGCCAATAGCTAAGCAGTAGAGGGATAGGCAAGGGTGGCAGGTAGATAAGTAGGAGGCAAATCTAGGTTGGGGTAGAGAAGAGAGATAGAAGGAGAAAGAGCGGAAGATGCCTGGGTTCAGTCAGTCAGGCAAGATGCCCGAGAGACAGACATGGAGTAGGACATATAAAAAGAAAAGTAAAAACACTGAGGAAAAACATAGATGAAGCGAAACAGGTTAATTTAAGTTAATTTAAGTTATAAGAGCTGATGAGACAAGCATAAGCAAAGGCCAAGCTTTCGTAACTAATAGTAAATCTCCATGTCATGATTTGGGGGCTGGATTTTGGGGCCCAAATAAAGTTTATTACAAATATAAAGAGTAGTATTTTTTTTTTACAAGTCTTTTGCTAAAACGGTTGGAGAAATGCCTCATCAATTAAGAGTGCTATTAGCCCCCAACACCCACATAGGGTGGCTTACAACCACCTGTAACTCTTGCTCCAGGGATGAGACCCTCTCATCTGGCCTCTATGGGCACTGGACTTTATGCCCCTATACACACATTTAAAAATAAAATAGAACTTAAAAAAAAAAAACTAAACACATTTTCTGGTAAATTACTTTAATAAAGGACAGAGTATCAGCCAGGCATTGGTAGCACACACCTTTAATCCCAGCACTCGGGAGGCAGAGGTGGGCAGACCTCTGTGAGTTTGAGGCCAGCCTGGTCTACAAGAGCTAGTTCCAGGACAGGCTCCAAAGTTACAGAGAAACCCTGCCTCGAAAAACCAATCAATCAATCAATCAATGACAGAGTATCACATTTGCTTCTTCAATATGTTGAGATGCCAATAACTAAATATTCTTTGATTTTTCATCCAAACTCGCTAAGTAACCATTCCCTTGATAAGTATCAATAAAGGTTAGTGAGTGTTAGAAGATTCTGGATCATATCAAGAAGTTTCTAAAGTTACAGACTAAAACTCACTGACTTAGCCTGTACTTGGAATGCATCGTTTGGCTGTACAATGGTTATTTGTAAAGCTCACACTTGGTGAGCTGATGAGCCTAGTTGGGTTGCTTTCAGGAGCATGAACAAAGGGCTACCAACAGGATCAAGACTAAATTAAGGGCCATTCACATTGGATTAGTATTCTTATTTCTTGTGTGTGTGGTGTATGTACCCAAAGGCTGGAAGAGGTTTTAGAGAGCAGAATCTCATGTAGGTCAGGTTGGCCTCAAATGTACTATGAAACTCAGCATGATCTGAACTTCTGATCTGTCTACCTTCACCTTCCAAGGGCTGGAATTATAAGCATGAGTCACCACCATGTCTGGCTCCTTGGATCAGTCTTGACCATTTGAGTCTTTAAAATAACTGGTGAGAACCACCAGGTAGATAGATAGAAATCTCTATGGGTTTCAGATGCTATGTGATAACGTTCTCAGTTTTTGGTCTGGTGGAAGTTAGTGGTATGTGAAGACCCCCCCCCCCCAAAAAAGGTTTTACATATAGTCAGATGAGTGGTCAAGTATAGAAGTGGGCAGTGAGTGACCACTAAGGAGACTAAAGATGACCCAAGATAATCTGTCTCTGGATGGCAGCATTACACCTCTTCACAATCAGTCCTAATCAGTCTATGAACCTTGGAAGGGGTATAAAACTTTAAGACAATTCTGAAGCCATTTCTGACAATTTTGAGCCCTCTCAGTCTCAGCAGTAATGCCCCCCCTTCTCCCCTGGGAACCAAGGACCTAACAGCTAAACATGCATGTATGTTCTCCAGAAATTGGGGCAAGATAACCTTTAAGATGTTGACTCAGTTCCTGAACAATTACCCACACACATATGTTTTGACTCTGCCCCTGGGAAACGGGGTCAAAGTGACCTCTTACCTCATCTGATCTGGCAACCGCTCACCCCCCCCCCGCCCCATTTCTGTGGCTTTTTCCTTTAAAAGTAGCCTGTACCAGCTATTCTGGGTCTTTCTGGCTTCCCGAATGCTGGAAGACCCTGTCATGACAGAATTAATAAAATTCATGCGTTTACATCAGCTGTGGTGTGAGAGATGGTCTCTTGGGGCGACTCCTCGGTGATTGGACTCCAGGGTCCAACAGGGGCACGTGTCCTGTCCCCCTGCCCCCCGCCTCTGGAACTTTAAATCATAGCATAAAGTTCAACAAGAGCTCACAAGACTCGGGTACAACTCAAATATCCCCAGTCCTGTTAAGTGTAGGAACTGTTCAGTTTGCAGTTACCCAATAGTTTTTGCCTAGCCTCAAGAACCTTACCTTATTTATTTGTAATTTAGAATTCAGCAAGACTCAAGCATCCTCTAAGCAAAATTCTGGGTAATTCCCTCCTTAGCAAACACAGTATAGTAGTTTAATAGTACTAAAATCTAGGTGACGGTACAGTGAAGTGCACTATCAAGTTTCAGCTTTGCTGTACATATGAAAGTTTAGTAAGGTGTTGAGAAAAATAGTTTTTTCTTTTCTTTGAAATGGCGTCTATGTAGTCCTGGCTGGCCTAGAGCTTGCTAGCTATACCAGGCTGGCCTCACACTCACTGCATCTGCCTCCCAGATGCTGGAATTAAAGGTGTGACCACAGCGAAGTTCTTCGTCGTATGTTTATGTGATGTTCTCCCAGCCTCACCAGCTGCACTGAAATATTAGTCTACCAATTTAAGGACAGGCACTAATTTTCATTCACTTCCTCTCTCTGTTATTCTCTTTCTTTCTTTAGTATCTTAAAAAAATGTTCTTTTGGGGCTGGAGAAATGGCTCCAAGGTTAAGAGCATCATTGACTGCTTTTTCCATAGGTCCTGAGTTCAATTCCCAGCAACCACATGGTGGCTCACAACTATCTGTATTGAGATCTGATGCTCTCTTCTGGTGTACAGGCAAATATGCTGTATATATAACAAATAAATAAATCTTTTTTTTTTTTAAAAAAAGTTCTTTTAGAGATGTTTATGTTACCAGCCGCTGTTAAATTCCTTGGCTCAAATGATCCTCATTCCTTAATCTCCCAAATAGCTGAGATAATCCTAGTGAAGGAGTGAAGGCAGGAGAACGGAAATTGGAATTGGGACTACAGGAATATGCCACCACGCTCAATTTCACTCCACCTTCCTTCCTTTTAAAGAAACATGTGTGTGTGGGGAGGTATATGCACATGTCACAGCATGTGTGTAGAGGCAGAGGATTACTTTTGGGAGTCAGTTTTCTTCTACCAGTGGGCCCCAGAGGTCAGACTCGGGTTGTCAGGCATGGAGGCAAGTCCCTTACCCACAAAGCTACCCTGACAGCTTCTTTTAAAAAATGTTTCGTTAGCCGGGTGGTGGTGGCACACGCCTTTAATCCCAGCACTCAGGAGGCAGAGGCAGGTGGATCTTTCTGAGTTCGGGGCCAGCCTGGTCTACAAAAGCTAGTTCTAGGACAGGCTCCAAAGCTACAGAGAAACCCTGTACCGAAAAACCAAAAAAAAAAAAAAAAAAAAAGTTGTTTGTTTGTGAGCACTCATGGTGGCTAGAAGCCCATGTCAAGTGACTTCAGGCTTCTGAGGGTACCAGGTACACATGTGGTACACTTACATACATTAGAACAGAACACTTACACACATTAAATAAAATAAATCTTTACTCAGGCATAGTAATGCATGCCTTTAATCCCAGCCATTGGGAGGCAGAAATAGGTGGACCTCTGAGAGTTAGAGGCCAGCCTGCTCTAACAGAGTGAGTTCCAAGACAACCAGAACTATATAGTAAGATCCTGCCTCAAAAAAAAAAAAAAAAACAAGAACAAGTGCCGGATGGTGGTGGCACAGGCCTTTAATCCTAGTACTCGGGAGGCAGAGAATTCACAGTAGAGAGATCTCTGTGAATTTGAGGTCAGCCTGGTCTACAGAGTGAGTTCCAGGACAGCCAAGGCTATACAGAGAAACCCTGTCTCAAAAAACAAAACAAACAAACAAAAAAAAGAAAAATAAACAAAAAAAAGTAAAAAATCTTTAAGCCGGGAACATGCTTTTGATCCTAGCACCCAGGAGACATTGACAAGGAGATATCTGTGGATGTGGCTAGTCTAATCTACAAAGCAAGTTCCAGGCCAGCCAGAACTACATAATGGAACCCTGTCTCAAAACATAAAAACAAAATACTACACAAACAAACTTGTTGGATACTAAGACAAAACAAAACAAAAAAAACCCGACCAACCAAAAAAAAAAAAAAGACAAAAAATACTTTTGAGATGAGAAACTTGGAATTAAAGAAACGTGAATTAAATTACTTTTATCTTTATGTGTGATAATTACACACACACACCCTATCACTTGAGATTAATTAGTTGCTAGGTAACAGGAGTTCGTTATATCCTATCTTTATATATGTTTTAAAAAGAACATTTTTCTGGGGGCCTGAGGTTGGGTCCCTTCATGTAGCTTAGGTTGGCTTTGAACTCCTGCTCCAGCCTCCCTCCCTACTGCTAAGATTGTGGGTATGCATAACCACACCCTGCACAAAATTTCAAATTAAATAACATTCTGAAGTAGGGACTGGGAAAACAGGATGGTGGTAGAGTTTTGTCTAGCATGCATGAGACCCTGGGTTCAATTCTTGCCCTACACAAAATGGAGGAAAGAAATCTCACAGGAACTAAGTTTGTGTCACCTGCCTATAATCTGATACTCAAGAAGCTGAGGCAGGAGGGTTAAAAATCTGAGAGTCAACAAATGCAATTTAGCAAGACTTACAATACCTAGCATGCACAAGACTTGGAATTGGGACTACAGGAATATGCCACCACACTCAATTTCACTGGGGAAAAAAAAACCAAAAAACAAATCAAAACAAAAAAAACCTAAAATGATAAAGTAAGGGGTGGCAAGGAAGGACAAACAGCAAGTCTGCAGATCAGTTTATTAAGATGGAATCACTGCTAATTACAAGGAGAAGCTACTTGCCATAATCAATGATGTTCTCAAGAACTTACGATACACATTAGAAACAAATGGTTCACAACCACAAGGAACTTTTCCTGATGCCCTGAGACAAGGCTGAGGTGATGAACCTGCACAGTTACTTCAAGCTGCTGAAGAGTTTGTGGGCCACCTAGATAAGAAAAAGAAAGCATCATTTGGCTTTAATGTCATGGCTCACAGGTCCTCAACACCTAGAACAGTGCTGCTTCTTTCTGGACTCACTTTTAAGCATCCCTATCCATTCTTGGGCCCCAGTACTCGCTTCAGTTACCTGACTTTTCTGTCTGCAACTCTGAATTTTTTTACCTACTACTTTTTTAGAAATTATTTTATGTGCATTGATGTTTTGCCTGCATGTGTGTCAGTGTAAGGATGTTAGATCCACTGGAACTGGAGTTACAGACAGCTGTAAGCTGCCATGTGGGTTCCGGGAATTAAACACAGGTCCTTTGGAAGAATGGCATTTGGAACAACAGCAGTGCTCTTAACTGCTGAGCCATCTCTCCAGCCCCATCATCATCTTTTTGAAGTTGCATGTAATATCCTGAAGCGTCCACTAAATAATCAGCACACAAATCTGTTTTGGGGATTCTCTTGGCAGGAATGTGCCACCGCCCTACTAGAAATCTCAAACTTTTTTTTTTTCACTTTTCGAGACAAGGTTTCTCCGTAACAGACCTGGCTATACTGGAACTCACTCTGTAGACCAGGTTAGCCTCAAACTCACCGAGATCTTCCTGCTTCTCCCAAGTGCTTGGATTAAAGGTGTGAGCTACCACTGCCCAGCTGAAATCTAAAACTTTTTATATTTCTCTCGGATATATATGTAGGAATGGAATTGCTGCTCAGTGTTATCTGTGGCCATAGGCTAGATCTATGCTTAACTATTAACACTAAAAAGAAAGAATCTGTCTGTTTAGATCAGGCTGGCTTCAAACACCTGGGCTCCAGTGATCTTCTTGCCTCACTCATGAGTAGCTAGGACGGCAGCTGGCTCTGGGCTTGCCTGTCTAAGGAACTGCCAAGATATTGTACATACTGGCTATGCCACTTTGAATTCTATCATTAGAATGAAATTTCTACTTTCCCCACATTTCTCTGACATGTAACATACCCTCCCGCCCCTACTGGTAGTCAACCCAGGACTCACTAGACAAGTGTTCTATTACCTACACTCAGTAAAGTGGCTAGCCAATTAGTTGTCCTTTTTTATTTTAAAGGCAGGATCTTATTCTATAGACCAGACTGGACTGAAACTCAGTATGGAGCCCAGGCTGGCCTCACACTTATGGCAATCATCATGCCCCAGCATTCCAAATAGGGATGGGCCAACACATCTATCTGGCTTACCTAATCAGTTTAAGAGAATTAATCTTATCGAATTCTGCATGTGTGTAATATGTGTAAAATACTGTTATATGAAAGAGTGAAGTACAAACTATAAAAAGAAAAACTGTACAACTAACTAGGTGTGAGACATATGGAAGGAACACACACAGAAAGAGTAGACTATTGCAGTCTACTATCTGGGGCTGGAGAGATGATGCTCAGTGGTTAACAACACTAGCTGCTTTTTTAGAGGTGTAGAGGACCTGGGTTCAGTTTCCAGCACCCACACAGTGAGTCAGAACTAACAATAAATCCAGTTACAGAAGATCTGATGTCTTCTTCTAACTTTCTTGGACACCAAGCACATACACGGAACAAAGATCCACACCCATAAAATTAATGAAAAAAATAATAATAAAAAAATGTTTTTAAAATACAAAATCCAGGGCTGGGGGTTCAGTGGTTAGAACGTTTGCCTAGCATGTATAAGGTCTTGTTTTATCTCCAGGACTAAAATAAACATATATATAGAAATCCAGCTTCTATACTATTTAACATATTTAACAGTGCATGTCAGGATTTTTTTTCCCCTGTCAGAATCTGTTCCAATATGTACAATGTTGACAGTGATACCTACCTCCAACATATATGGTAAGGACTCGGGACATCTATGTATGTAAAATGTCACAAAACCTGACATACAGGGCCCATATGGATATGGATGGGTCAACTTGGAGCATGAAAACCACTGTACAGCTTTGCCTCTCCTGTCTTCAGAGTGACTTACACAGTGGTCCCGTGCATGCAAGAAGTCAAAGAGCTCCTCTGTACAGTCCTCTTCTGTCTGTGATCGGGAAGACACACGCTGATCACAAAGTTCTAGCCGCTCCCGGGCCTTTACACACTTCTCCAGCTGCTCACACTGCTCTCTCACTGTTGTCAGGGGGTCCTGACAAACAAGCAGAAAAAAATAAATATTTAATAAGAAAAAAAAGCTTCAGAAAACATCCACCAAATAAATGAGGGTTGATCAGTAAATCACCAAATCAAGGTGCTACACTAACTTTCCATTCAGGCCAGCTGGCAGAATCATATTGTAGCCAAAAATGGCAGGACAGGGACGCCTATTTAATTTTTTGATGCTAAGTACTAGGGAAGTTTCAAATTTCTGCCTTCCAAGGTTGCCAGTATGCACTAAAAGGCTCAGTACTATCTGGGAAACAAGGTACTAAAGGAAATTGTTCAAATAGGAAGTAGATCTACTGGAGACATCACTTGTTAACACAACATTTAAGATTCAATTTCCCTTGTATAAGAATCAGGCTTAGGGGGCTGGAGAGATGGCTCAGCGGTTAAGAGCATCGCCTGCTCTTCCAAAGGTCCTGAGTTCAATTCCCAGCAACCACATGGTGGCTCACAACCATCTGAAATGAGATCTGATGCCCTCTTCTGGCCTGCAGGCAGACACACAGACAAGAATATTGTATACATAATAAAAAAAAAAAAAAAAGAATCAGGCTTAGCTCCCTACTTGCAAAGTCAGAAAATGCAAACATGGAAAACTATCTAAAAAATTTCCTTCAGAGTTCCTTATTAAACCACAAGCAGCAGATGAGTGACCAGTCCTTGAAAATTCTGATTCCAGGTATGACCAAAGAAGCCCAAACCTAGGAAAGACAGCTTTCTAGGCTCACATCCCAGACCCTCCACTGCACAGAAGGTACAAAGGCTTAGTCCATCATTTCCCCAAGTTGTCACAGTCCTTAAAATGCCCTAGAGTTTCATGAAGTTCCTACTTCTAGTAAGATAGTTCAAAACTGGAAGCAGCACTTACCACTAATTCTTCCTCCTCCTCTTCCTACAAAAGGAAAAGAAAATTAGTGTCAGCAGCAATTTTATAACATACATTTCCACAATCATACTCATACTAAAATTATGGAGAAAAGACTGTATTAATCATTATTTTATGATGATGTTTTGACACCCTAAAATCCTTGCTAATTTCAGTGCTAAACCCTGCCTCCCCAGAATTAGCTAATTTTTAGAGAGAAATGCAGCTTACCTGGGAACACACCCTTCATGCAGCAGTCAATCTAAAAGCCATATAACAGTCACTTCCTTAGGCAACTCTCACACACTTTGTATTGCCCCACTCCAGAAGCAAAAGTCAACAAGGGAGCAGCACCACAGCTCAGAGCTCACTGAAATTGTTCATACTACCCAATCCTTAATTTGATCAAGCTTGTTTCCTTTGCCTCCATCATTCCTTCCCACAGAAACCAAGGCTCTGAGCCTTGTTTTCCCGGTGACTCCTTGTTTGACCTGGTACGGTCTCGCTCTAGCCCAGACTGGCCTCATGTTTGTGGCAGTCCTCCTACCTCACCTTCCCAGCACTGGAATTATAGACGTGCGTCATCATACTCCGTTCCCTTCCCAACGTCATAAAGATACTTGTGTGGATGTAGCACATGTGTGTGCATTACTGTGCATGGAGGCCACCGGGGGGGGGGGGCATCAGGTATCCTCCCGAATCACGCTAGGGAGGCAGCCAGCAAGCCCTAGTGACCTTCCTATCTCTAGCCTCTCAGTGTGTAATGCCTAGCTTTTACCTGCATACCTGCAGTACCTGCATGCTATGGTCCATTCTCTAGCCCTCAGGCTTGGGCAGCAAGTGCTCTTAAAGACTGAACCATTACTCCAGCCCTAACTTGTTTGTTTTTTAAGACAGGGTCTCACTAAGTAGTCAGCCCAGTCTTGAACTTGCAGCAGTCCTCCAGCTTCAGCCTTAATGCCTGGATTACAGGCATGTGCTACTACCATGCCCAGCTCCTCTAGTTCCTTTCGCTGACTCTTCCCGCATTGCCCTGCATTATGTGGCATGCCTCAAGAATTATAAGCAATAGATTCTCCTGCCATTGTTTCTTCTCCTCCATGCTTTTATTTTTAATTACATTTAATTGTGTATGTCTGCAGAACTGCCATAGCAAACAAATAGAAGTCAGTGGACAACTTGTGAAAATCGGTTTTCTTCTTCCTCCATGTAGACCCTGGAGGTTGAACTCAGGTTGTCAGGTGTGGGAACAGGCATTTTTACTATCTCAATGGTCATTTATTTATGATGATGTGAGCCACAAGTACTATACAGTAAAAGAACAGTTGACAGACCACTAGACAGATTTACGGAATTATACACTCTAAGGAGCAACCTACTTTGCAAAGCTTTGGGAACTCTTGTCTTTTGGATAGTCAATTCTGTAGAAATCTTGTGAAACCCTGACATTTCTCCCTTTCATAATAGGATTCATCCCAAAATCCCTCAGCAGTGTATAAATCATTCTTTAAACCTGACTTTCCCGTATTGGCAACTGAACACTATGGGGCCCTGGTGTGAAAGCATTCACTCAACCAAACCTACATAATCTATGTAAAGCTAGACCATGACAATTATCCTTATTGACAGGACTCACTGACAAGAAAGGAGCCCTGAGCAGGAGAGACAGTGTGTCTGCTCTCACTGATAAACAGATCTGTCTGGGTGGCTCTAAATTCTCTAGCAGCAGATTCTGGAAGGTGTAATCTACTGGTCTTTGCTCTGCCCTAACAAACTATTAATATTCTGTACTTGCCTTCACCTTTCATTTGCCACAGGTCTTAGTCTAGGAAATTAACTGTTTGCACCTTACCCAGAAAATATATAGGAAAAAAACCTTGGGTTGCTAAGCCAAACCCCAGAGAAAGAAATTTCTTCTCACCTGGGTGCCAGCGGATACAGCACAAGGATGCTTGGCTTGGGAGGGTTGGGATGGTAGGGGACCCTCTATCCTAATTCTTCCTGTATTTGCTGAGGAGCTTCACAGCCACACCCCTTCTGAGACATAAGGTACCTACCTTGTCAGTCTTTTGTCCATCCTGTTAGCCCTAAAAAAATGCATGCTTGTTAACTATGTCTGTGGGTATATGAACTAAAAACTTTGGAGGATGGGCAGAACAGGGAAAGAACAGCAAAGAACAACGGGGGCTGGGCGGTAGTGGCACACGTCTTTAATCCCAGCACGCAGGAGGCAGAGACAGGCAGATCTCTGTGAGTTAGAGGCCAACCTGGTCTACAGAAGGAGGTCCAAGGCAGTCAGAGCTGTTACACAGAGAAACCCTGCCTCAAAAAACCAAAACAAACAAAAAACAAGGAATAGTGAGGAGGAACATCAAAAGGGAAACATCAAAAGAGCATTAGAGAGAGCATAGAAAGAAAAAATGGGACATGATAAAAGACTTATGTGAGCTAATTTATTCTATTTACCCTCAGATATCTTTAGCTAGTAGCAGTCCTTCTGAATCCTGAGAGGTTTAGTGGGGCTTACCCACAATGTAAACCTTGATATTTATTTATTTTGGTTTTTTGAGTCAAGGTTTCTCTGTGTAGCTTTGGAGCTTGTACTGGAACTTGCTAGGTAGACCAGGCTGGCCTTGAACTCCCTGCCTCTCGTGCTGAGATTAAAGGTGTATGCCAGTCATTCACCCCTCCCCCCACCAGCCTTTTATTTTCAAGATAGAGTCCTGCTAACCTTGAACTTTTTTTCATTGCCTCAACCTCTCAAGTGCTAGGGTCACCCGTATAAGCCACTGTGCCCAGCCCATAAATTCTTTCAGAGGTAGCTGTCTCCATGTACATCACCTCACCACATTTTATTATTTTAAGACAGACACCACCTCACTTGCATCAGTGAGATCTATGTGTGCAGGACAGTCTACAGTTTATGAAGTACATATAGCCTTTAGGATATGATTAGTCAGCTCTTAAGGAAGTAATCCCAGTTTAGAAACAATAGCAGTGATTATTAACCATTTCCTGGTAACAGACTCAAGTCATCGGCTAATCCAGTGGGATCTAAAACTTAAAAGTATTTTGATAGCTAAGGATGTAGCTCAATGATAGAGTGCATTCCTAACACTGCAAAGTCCTTGGTTCAATTCCCACACTGAAAGGGAAAACAAAATATCACACACGCACCAACCTACAAAACAAAACTACTCTGCTTTGGCTTAAATAGGTAAGGTGTAATCCCAGCACCTAAAAGATAGAGAATCAGGAGTTCAAGTTTGAGTCCAGCCTGGACTACATAAGACCCTGTCTCAAAATAGTAACTAAAGTATCTGGTAAATATTGCTAGACATCAGACCCCTTGGAACCAAAGTTACAGGCGACTGCAAGTCACCTGATCTAAGTCCTCGGAACTTAACTCAGACTCTCTGCAGGAGTTGTAGTCACTACACCATCTCTCCAGCTCTTTTTCTAGCCTCTTAACCTGAAGATGGAATATAAAAATGGCCAAACCTAAATCCCTTTCTTTAGCCAACTTAAGTTATAATCACTGCCCTCTGGCTTGCAGATCAATGAATTACAAAAGTCAATACAACTTCACCCAAGACCTCCCAGTGTATATCTTAAAATTTCCTTTCTTTGCCTAATTATAAAAATTATCTATAGGAACATCAGCACAGGTCCTAAATCTGGTGTATGACAGTTATCTACCTGTCTATAACAAGGGATTCACATTTGGGAGAAGAGGAAGTAAAGGCACATAGGGAGATAAAGAGATGAGCAACAATCATGTTCCCAAACCCCAACAAGACAGTACCCTGGAAGGGAGGAAGGGGGTTCAACTGTAACCTCAGCTCTCTTCTCTAGTGATTGGCAAGGTTTCTCCTAAGTGTGAAGTTGTTACTTAGGATATAAACTCTAGTTTTTCATCAAATCCTTTAAATGATTTATTAGCAGGCTGGAGAAATGGCTCAGTGGCTAAGAGAACTCAACTTGCTGCTCTTGCAAAAGAACCATGTTTGATTCCCAACACCCTCTTCTGATATCCCTGAGCACCAGATACACATGTGATGCACAGACATACATGTAAGCAAAACAGTCACATGCATAAAAATAAAAAGGTTTTAAGGGCTGGAGAGATGGCAGCAGTTAAGAGCACTGGTTACTCTTCCAGAGGTCCTGAGTTCAATTTCCAGCAACCACATGGTGGCTCATAACCATCTGTAATGAGATCTGGTGCCCTCTTTTGGCCTGCAGGCATACATGCAGGCAGAATACCGTGTGTGTGTGTGTGTGTGTGTGTGTGTGTGTGTGTGTGTGTGTGTGTGTGAGAGAGAGAG